TATTTCATCCTGACTAGCTTTTACTTCTTTTATCTCCACAGAAAGGAATTCTAATCTATTTTCTACCCCAGCTAGTATTATTATTATTGTTATGATTCTAAATTCTGGTTCAGACATTTTTCTTGTATCTGTGTTGGTTAAGTCCCTGGGCATTTCTTCCTGCTCTTTCTTTTGGAGTGAATCCTTTCATTTCATCATTTTGAAGGGACAAAAAGACTTAGTGATGTAAAAAACTAATTAAAATTAAATTTTTTAATTAAAAAATTAAAATGCACACACACACAAGAAAATCAAATAAATGATGCTAGATCCTAAGTGTGTTTTGGTCTGGGTGTTGAAAGGGGTTGGTAGATTAAAGAAAAAAGGGTAAAGAAAGAAAAAAAGGAAATCATTTGAAAATTTGAAAATATGAATACACTAAAATAGAATGAAATGATGGAAGTACAATAGAATTTGAAAAAATTTACACAAAAATAAAAAATAAAGTAGAAAATAAAATTAAGGAAAAATATATTTAATAAAACTTGAAAATAAGAACAATTTTTTTCTCTTTCTGTATTCAAGAAAAGGAAAAGAAATGAAAAAGAAGAAAAGAAGAAAAAAAATAAAAATTATATAGATGGACTAAAGAAAAGACTGAAATACAATTGAAATTATTTCATTTTCCCCTAGAAGTCAAACTATGAACACCTGTATAGTCAGTAAATTAAGCAGGTGGAGAGACTTGTGTTTCTGAAGAGCGAGGTTGGCCCAGTTGGGCTTAGTTTAATGGCTTCATTCTCCACTAGATGGCTCTGCTTAGCTTACTGGCATGGATTGTTGTGGCACTTGTAGGTGTGTATGCACACGCGTGAGAGTGGTGAAAATGGCATCACCCAGCTACCCAGTTTCTAGTATAGAAACTCTGTTCTCCCTGATCAGCAAACACCTAACCCGTCCTTTGTCTTCAGCTTCCATCCACTCCCCACTTTTACACTGTCTGTGACCAAGGCCCAGGCAGTACCTCCCTCCTGAGTTTTATATCAGATGTGGGTGTTTTCCCTGACCTTTTTTTCTGAGGGACTGCAGCTTTGACCCATTCTGTCCATCTGTAGGAGGATCACACTGAGCAATGGCCAGGGGCTGGCCCTACCCAGGAACGTTCATGGGACTGTGCAGCTGCCAATGCCCATAGACTGGCCAGGTGCCAGCCCACCCCAGAAAAAGTTCACGCGATCATTATCACAAGTGTTTCAGGGCTTATGGAAAATCACAACACACATCTGGCACCAGGCTTCAACCCCAATGACCTTGTTCCATCACCAGAGAATGTGGTTGTTCTCCCAGGTCCACTGGAGCCTTTTCCTGTGGGTGTCGCCACACAGCCTCTACTAGATGTCCTCCCTATAGAGGAACTACCTCTCCCCATGTGGCCTGAAGACCCCCCAGACTTCACTCTGCTCCTGGGAACTCACCCTTCTCACCAGAGCACTACCAGGTATCAAGCTGTGGAGTTTCAGGCTTTGTGCTCCCCCTGTTTATACAGTCTTAATGGAGTTCAAACCTCCCCCTTTCTCCTTTCTCCCTTTTTAATTCAGTCCCTGCAGTTGTTCCTACCTGCTTTTTTTTTTGGGGGGGGGTGCTTGTCCCTTATTCTGCTCCTCCATCTCCATCTTTTCTCCACAAGCAAAAATAGTTCCCTGCCCTCTGCAGCTTCTCTCTCCCCCATTTCACCTTCCACATCATGTACCTGCTGAGTTCTGTGGTTCAGGTTGTGCAGATTGTTGTGTTAATCCCCAAATCAGTTTTCTAGGTGTGCAGGATGGTTTAATGTTGATCTGGCTGTATTTTATGGACACGAGACACAAAAAAACTTCCATGCTGTTCTGCCATCTTGGCTCCTCCCCTTTTTTTTCATAAAAAGTTGAAAATGCTAACAATCTTATCCTAATGGAACTTTATCAATCATGTTATAATTAATACTGTAGGCATATAAAAATTGGGTGGATTCTCTAAACAGAAAGATGCTATAGGACTGTTTCCTGGCCAAAAAAAAAGAAAAAAAGGTAAATTAATAATTCTAAATTATTTATTTAAACATAGACTAAAACCTGTTTTAGCACTGTTGTTTATACAGGCCCACATTAAATGCATGTGACATGGTACCAGAAGCTACACAGAGAACATGTGACATATACTCACAACTTGCAATACCTAGTACATACAAGTATAAACGTATCAAGACCACCAAGAGGCAAAACCATGAAAATATAATTCAAAGATTTCATAAAGACAAAAATGAAGAAAGATTGCCACAAACTTTCTTTTATTCAGAGAAACCAGACAATAAAGTAGTATATGCATAAACTAACTTGCCCTCCTCAAGCTCTGCAATACTCACATGTTTTTCTAATTTCTATCAATCCAGTAAGGAAGTGTGGGCTAAAAATAAAAGCAAAGGAGAACCTGGGTGGCTCAGTCAGTTGAGGGTTCAACTTCGGACCAAGTTATGATCTCATGGTTTATGGATTTGGGCCCCAAATCAGGCTTGCTACAGTCTGTGAAGAACTTGCTTTGGATCCTCTGTCCCTCTCTTTCTCTGCCCCACCCCTACACAAGCTCTTGCTCCCCCCATCTCTCTGTCTCAAAAATAAACATTTAAAAAATTAATAAATAAATGCAAAGTTTCTCTTGTTTAAGGAAATAGTTGTTTGAACATAAGGAAAGAAATATGAAAACTGGGTATAGACCTAAAGAAGCTAGGGTTAAAAGTAAGTAAAACTTATGCAAAAGTTAATCTAGACATACCTATTTTTTATGAATTTTTGGAAAGTATTAGGTTTCTCCAGAGAAACGGAATCAATAGAATGCACAGATATAGAGAATAGATAAATGGTAGATATAGATAAATAGATAGGTGATCAATAGATAATAGATAGATGGATAGAGGATAGATTGATATAGATAGATACATAGATACATAAATAGATACATAGATAGATGATAGGTAATAGGTAGATAGATGATAGATACATAGATACATAAATAAATACATAGATACATAGATGATAGGTAATAGGTAGATAGATGATAGATATATACATAGATACATAGATGATAGATATAGATAATAGGTAGATGATAGATAATAGATAGATGATAGATAGATAGATAGATAGATAGATGATAGATAGATAGATGAGAGGTGACAGATACACAGATGTAGACAGGTAGAGAGATAGACAGGTAGACAGAGAGATTTTAAGGAATTGGCTCATGTGATTTTGTGGGCACATAAGTTCAAAATCTTCAGTACAGGCTGGAGACCCAAGGAAGAGTTCATGTTGCAGCCAAAGACCAACCACGGTCTGAAGACAGAATTCCATCTTCCTAAGGGGATCTCAGCTTATTTTATTGTAAGACTGATTGGAGGGCTCTCCACATAATGGAGAGAAGTCCATTACTCAAAGTCTATTGATTGAAGTGTTAATCTTATCTAAAAACTACCTTCACAGCAACAGCAGGACTGGTGTTTGACAAAATACCCAGATACTGTGGCCTAGTCAAGTTGATACATAGGGTTCACCATTACAGAGACTGGTTAGTTCCTACGAATAGTTGAAATTTTATTAACTTCATTAATTTTTACAACTTAAATTTTCTCATTTTCACCTTTTACCTTAAGTCTGAGAAAAAATATATATATTGTAAGCTAAACTGTGCCTTGCCTTTAAATTTGAATCGTTCCTACTTCACTCGTGGTGAAAATCCACGAGTTAATGAACTATAGTTCCATATTCATAATAATTAATATCATCATCATCATCATCATCATCATTTAACCTGGCAAGTGTTCTCATAGTAAGCAGCTGTGGCCTGGTTACTTTCTACACTGTTCCTGTCCACAAGCTACCATGCCACTATTTCCTTCTATGAACCTCTGTTCATGAATTGTTAAGAATTTAGAGGTAACTCAAGAACAGACTCTTAACTATACAGAACAAAGTGATGGTCACCAGAGAGGAGGTGGGTGGGGGGATAGGCTGAATGAGTGATGGAGATTAAAGAGAGGACTTGTGAGGAGCACCAGGTGTTGCATGGAAATGTTGAATCACCATATTGTACACCTGAAACTAATATTACACTGTATGTTAACTAACTGAAATGTAAATAAAAACTTTAAAAAAGAAAATAAAAGAACTGTATCCCTAATTTTTTCCCAGTGCAAAAGTACTGCCTGCTTAGGAGCTTATTTCAATAAAGACTCTTTATGTCAGTGACTTTCAAACTTTTGTAGCAATGGTTCACTGTAAGGAAAACCTTTGATACACATAAACACATAAACACTCACACAACTGATTTACCATACCTTGTTCAATCCTCTCTGAAATTTTCTATTCCATTTCATGCCATTCTCACTCACTTTTAAATGCTTGTTAAGTTGATTTAATAACCAGTAAGTGGCATATAACCTGAAATTTTAAAGAAACACTGTTTGTTAGAGAAGCAGTTATAAATTATTTGCACAGGGCAGGAAGAGGCAGACAACAGCCTGAAGAAGAAACATTACACTCTCTACTAGGGTCTAGAAAACTTAGAATAAAAGGGTATATGGAGTGGAACAAGTGTACCTCAAATAGTCACTCCCTCACACATACATACACACATTTTTCTGCTTGGGGTCTCATTTTCCTCAAATCTGACTTAATAGTGACTTTACAATTTTCTGGAATCAGACTCTCAAGTTTGCTGAAAAGAACTCATTATTTCCCTATAAAACTTCATTGATACAAGTAACATTTTTCTCTTCACCAGCATATTATCTTTTGTGACTGAGTCTGTCACTTGGAAGGACATAGGGGCCCTGTCCATCTACTTGCAAGCAAAGACAGGAGTTATTTATTCTGGGATCCCTGAAAGAGAGAAGACCTTACTCCATTCTCACTCCAGCATCTTATATGACATTATGCATTGTTATCTCCCTGGAACAAAGCATTCTTTAGGGAAAACAAGCACCTACATCAGTGCCCTCTTGCATCCGACAGGCTGTGGTCTTTCCCAAGAACCTTCCACATGGCTCCCTTCACATCTTTGTTTCTCAGTGTGTAGACGAAAGGATTCAGAGTGGGGGTCACCAGACAGTAGAAGAGGGTTAGGAACTTGCCCTGGTCCTGGCTTGCCCCATTCCCAGGCTGCATGTACATGTAGATTATAGTGCTA